AGTAAGTGAAGCTGCAGGAAGTACAGGTGTGGTTGTGTTGTCTGGGCACTGTTGTTGTCTCCCACTCAGTTAGACAAAAATAATAATCAAAACACCAACAAAAAAGTGAAAGCATGCAGACAAAAAATATACTGTGTAAACACATGGGAACAATCACCAAAAATAGAAAGAAGAAAGAAAGAAAGAAACCTGCAATATTTAGAAAGAGAGCAGTAACAGAAAAAAGGTAGAGTAGGAGAATAATGAAGAAAATAATGTGAAAAATGTAAAACAAAAAACAAAGTATGGGGTTAACCACAAGAAAGAAAAAAAAATGAGAACCAGGAACAGGGAAGAGAGAAAAAGCTGAAAACTAGAACCTGGGAAGGGAAGAATAAAGAATAATAATAACAAGGACAAAATTAATAATAATAACAGTAATAATTTTAAAACAGACAAAAACCAAACAAACTAAAAAAGGAAAAAAAAAGAGGAAATCTGGGCAAGGCGGTGTAGGGTACCCAGGTTCTGTCCAAGCACACAGACTGGGATGGAATACCTGTTGGCCAAGAAGGTGGCTGGAAGTGAAGGATGGCCACACCTCCATTCACCAAGAGGGAGTGAGGTATAAGAATAACAAGGGGAATATCACAGCTTTCCAGTTGTTGGCATCTGAAATGTCCTTGTGGTTCCTGGCAAGTGAAGCCTATTCTTAAGTCCCTGGAATCTGGGAGAATGCTGTCACTTCAAACATCCAAAATGGTTGAGCTGTTGGTAAACATTCAAAATGGCTGCCCTCTCCAGACAAGCGAAAGTCCACAGCTCAGTCCGCATTCCTCTTCACTGCTTCCCCTTTTATTCACCAGCCACCAGTGCAGTCCTCTGTGCAGTCCCTGGCTAGCAGGGCCAATTTTTTAGGTTAATTCTTAGGTTCTAACACCACTTGGCAATATCCAAGTCAATACTGTCAGGATTGCTGACAGACCACAGCTTTCTATGTCTTCTTTTTTGGTGTTTTCAACTTTTTTGGCAAGTTCTTCTACTAGGTAGTGTTCAGTCCACTTCTATATCCTTCCTTTTAAATCTCAAGGCTCCAGGTTATCTTGTGTATCTGTGTAATTGGTTCCCCTTTTCTTTGTTGAAGAGGGTCTGTGAAGTCTTCCTGCCTCTTCTGCCATCTTGAACCTCCTTCTTTTTCAATGACCTTTTGCTTTCTTCATGGATGACGTTCTTCATGTCATCCTACAGTTCCTCTGGTTTTTGGTCATTGGTGTTCACTGCATCAAATCTATTCTTTAAATGGTCTCTAAATTCAGGAGGGATATAATCAAGGTCATATTTTGGCTCCCATGGACTTGTTTTAATTGTCTTCAACTTCAGCCTGAACTTGCAAATGAGCAGTTGATGATCAGTTTCACAATCAGCTCCTGGCCTTGTTTTGGCTGAAGATATTGAGCTTCTCCATTGTCTCTTGCCACAGATGAAGTCAATCTGATTCCTGTGTACTCCATCTGGAAAAATGCATATGTATAGCCACTGTTTATATTTTTGAAAAAAGGTATTTGCAATGAATAAGACATTGGTCTTGAAAAATTCTACCATGTGATCTCCAGCATTATTTCTATCTCGCAGGCCAAATTTTCCAACTACTGGTGATTCTTCTTTGTTTCCAACTTTTGCATTCCAGTCACCAGTGATAATCAGCACAACTTAATTGCATGTTTGGTCAATTTCAGACTGCAGAAGTTGGTAAAAATCTTCAATTTCCTCATCTTTGCTTTGGTGGTTGGTGTGTAAATAATAGTAGTATTAACTGGCTTTCCTTGTAGGCATATGGATATTATTCTATCACTGACAGCATTGTACTTCAGGACAGATCTTGAAACATTCTTTGTGATGATGAATGCCACACCATTCCTCTTCAATTTGTTATTCCCAGCATCATTGATCATATGGTTATCTGATTCAAAATGGCCAAAACCAGTCCATGTCAGCTCACTAATGCCTAGCATATCAATCTTTATGCATTCCATTTCATTTTTGACAACTTCCAATTTTCCTAGATCCATTCTTCATATATTCCATATTTTGATTAGCAATGGATATTTGCAGCTGTTTCCTCTCACATTGAATCATGTCACTTCAGCAGATGGAGGCCCCAAAAGCTCTACTTTATCCATATCATTAAGGTAGGCTCTACTCTGATAAGGCATCACTTTCCCAGTCATATTTTGAGTTCCTTCCAACCTGAGGGGCTCATCTTCCGGCATGATATCAGGCAATGTTCAGGGCTATCCATAAAATTTTCCAGTAATATATCAGTGTTTTACTACTATTCATAAGGTTTTCCCTGGCAAATTCTTTGCGAAGTGGATGGCCTCTTCCTTCTTCTAATTGTATCTCAGTCTGCAAGCTCCACCAGAACTGGTCCACCATGGGCACCCCTGCTGGCACAGCCTCCAGCCTTGCAGCTGCATGCAAGCCACCACAGTACAACAAACTGACAGACAAGTTTGTCTCCCTTAGGTGTTCCAACTGCTCCTTTCACTTCCTGATCTACCCCCTACTTGTTCCTTCAGGCCCTGTCTGCCATCGCTCCCTGCTGCTTTGGGGGCTCTCCCCTGTCTTCCTTACCTGTTCCGGTAGCCAGAACTTAATAGGGCACCCTTGCTGATACTGAGAAACTAATTACATCTTCTGTGACAACATCAGTACTGGCCTGAGGAATCATTGTATTCAATATAATAACATTGGATAAAATTACACTGTTGACAACAAATGATCCATGTCTTTTATATGGAAACTTTCTACTCTATAGAAGTACCCAGATTCTTCTATAATTCTGTTCTTAGCTCTTATGGCAAGCCTAAAAGGAAGTCTACCATCTAAAGAAGTTACCTATTGGTTTTATACTAAACACCTCAAAAAACTCTCTGCCCCATGCCTGCATTTTGTCGAGTCTGTTTTTCTAATCATTTACTTGGCAAATATTTGCAAAACTTCTATTTTAAGTCAGGATCTATGCCACAAACTAGAAATCTAAAGATGAACATGATGACTCAATTCCTCTTAAAATTATAATTCAAAGTGTACTGAGGACTACAGTCTAGGTGTTTTTGTTTTTTTTTTTCCTAAAAATATTAATGTTTTTCTTTGAATTATGCTTTAAACTGGAGTTTCATTTGAGTTTTTTGAGAACTTTTTCACTAAAAAAAGAGTCACTTTAAGTTTAAAATTTGCTTTAATTACAAAAGAATGGATGAACATCCTCGAAAATTCACCAAGAAGGTATCCTTCTGAAGAAAGTAAGTGATATTTGAGTATTCTTGATGGGATATATACTTCTAAAATGGAATAATTTTAATATACTTTCATTTCATTGTGTTCCTCTTCATCATATTCAGTGAAATTATGTTAAAGATTACATTAAAAAAAATAAAAATAAAAAAAAAACCTCACTGATATCTAGTCGATTCTGACTCATAGCAACTCCCTTTGGGTTTCTGAGGCAGTAAATCTTTACAGAAGTAGATTGCCCAGTCTTCCTTCTGTGGAGTGGCTGGTAAGGTTTGAACCACCAACCTTCTGGTTAGCAGTCAAATTCCTTAGGCACTATGCCACCAGAGCTCCTTAAGATGGCATCAGTTGGTGTTTAATTAGAGAAGCAGATCCCTATGAATAATATGGAATAAGTGATTTATTTTAGGGATTATATTTTATACAATTGTAGGAAAACTGGGGAAGTAAAATGTCCAGAAGGGTATGATTGCTGAACAGATAAAAGCTTCAACTAGGGCTGATGAAACAGAGCAAGTGAAGAAGTCTATGGGAATCTCATGCCTTCACATTTGAAAAGACCTGTGTAACTGTATATCTGTAGGACAAGGTGTCAAGAGAAAAGCTGGATGACAAATGAGAGCAAGCTCAAACTGGAACCCATTAGGGCAAACTGGATTCTATGGGGAAGAACATGCCTCTGCCTTTCACTGCATTGAAGCCCAAAGCTATAATGCCTGGAGAAGGAGTTGGTGTCCTTCACTGCATAGTTGCACAGGTGCCTGGCCCAGGATTCAGAGAACCTGAAGCAGAAGAACCAGTAGAAGCTGGAGAAACTGTGGGCCCAGCCACTTCCCCACACTCTGGTGAGCCAGGAGATAAGTGACAACCTGCACAACCCTCACAGAGACTAAAGCTCTGTACACATCTTCCTTGCTCAAAGGCTGCAGCTACACTTCTATTTTCCAAATCTCATGCAGATTTCTCTGTGGCCAAACCTAGCCCAGAACTGTATGGCACTCCAGCTTAAGTAAATTGACATAGCATAAAACTCCTACAGATTCTACAGATATAGACTATAACTGAATTATAGAAAAAAAGAATTATAAAGATGGTATTGTTTCCTTATTGAAACCCAAAGAGATGGTAGTTTGCCCAATATCACAGAGTTAGGGACAGGCCCAGATATTTGATTTTATGTTGCTTTATCTGGGTAATATCACAAAAAGCTGGGTGTGAAATTTAGACACCCACGTTCCCGCCACTAAGTAATTATTTGGTCTTGAACAGATCACTCATGGTTTCTGTTTTTAAGTGCTCTTGTGAGAGAATTGCACTGGGGCAAGGCCCATCATATAGAAGGTATTCACTTAATATTCAATAAATAAATGAATGAATCTAGTCTTTCAAGAATAGCATTTTCCCAAAATGCTCTGTTGCCTAACATTAAATAAACAAACAAAGAAACATGGAAACCATGCTGCTGGGCCTCAATCAAGACATATTCTTGTAGATTTCATTAAATTCTCTGGGATTACAGTAGATCACTCAGGCCCTTCCTTCTTAGCACCAGTCAGATTTTCAGTCTTTCAGCCATGTAACAATTAGACTTCCTATATTCTTTGTGCCCTCCCATAGTGGCTTCTACTCACTTCAATTGATCGGAACTTTTCAACAGAAGTCAAGTACTAAAGAGCTGGAAAAAAGCAAGAGACTCTGAAAGACAGTGTTAGGAGGAAGCTGTAAGAATGTAAAATTTGGGAGAGGCAGGGCAAGATGGCGGACTAGGCAGAAGGATTGCACAGACCCTCTTCAACAAAGAAAAGGGAAACCAATTAACACAGACACAGAA